ATAGGATGTCAATATTGTATTATAGACCTATTGCCCGCAAGTGGAATACCCAAACACTTGCATAGAAAAGTCCCCTTAGCGATTAACAAGATTCACCATTCTTTCCATGAAAGATTAACAAGATTCACCATTCTTTCCACTTCATGGAACCAGGGCCAGCCCATGGGCCTGGGCAAGCTGGCGACCGCCCAGGCCCCCAAATGCCATAGGGCCCCGATTTTATACTTGTTATAGTGTTTATATGGTGATATCCTAATAGTTTTAAGTATGTTGGACCTGTTCTTAAAGCCCAATACTCTTATTATAGCCGATCCAAAAAGAAAGCGGGAGAAAGTGATGCTGACGAGGCGGACGATTGCTTCCTACTTCCAAATTCCAATGCGCAATAACTCTTCAGATTTCTATGGAAAATCCAAACGATGTTTCTCCTCATTCGAGAAACAACGGTAATCGATTTCTTCTATTTCTAATTTCTTATTCCAGATTTCAAGTGTTTCTTCTCCATTTGATTTTCTTATATTTCGGATTTTCTGAGTTTCTTCATAACAACCACCGATCCCTTAGGAACGACAACCAGTGAATCGAATCTGGCTGTTTCTCTTTCTCACGATTCCAGAAAACTGAAACCGATTCTTGCCCTTCTTCTTTTCGATTTTCAGTTTATTTTACTGAAACAACACAAGTGAATTTGAATGTGAATCTCGATTCTTGATCTTCTTATTTTCGATTTCCAGTTTCTTTTTCTTGAAAATAAGACGAAATCGAGAGTAGACTCTGTGTATGAGAGTATGTGACCTTCTCATTGTGAATATCTGTAAGTTATACTTTCTTGCATTCTTGAAATTTCTGATTATTTGATCACTTCGTTTTTTTAGTAAAATATATCTTTTTAACTTCATTATTTTATTTCGTGTAGGATCAGAATATCCGAGTATATACCTTCTGAATCCGATTATGAATCACTACCTTCTGATTGTGAATTGTAAGTCAGTCTTCTCCAATTCTTTGGAGATGATTTCTTATCTGTCTTTTTTTTAATTACTTGGAAATTAGAATTGGTTTCTTTTCTTCATTGCATTTTCTTATCTTTTAGTTTCAATTTTATACTTTCTTAGTATGTTTGGTATCTTTTTGTTGTTAGCCTTCTATTACCGAACAATCTAATTAAACTCAAAGATGATATATGCATAAGTTTTTAAAGTAAACTAATTATGTTGATGTACAAGAAAACCATGGACAATTTTAAATGAGCAAGAATATTGGGACTGATAGCTATGCATTTTCTATTTTTACAGGTATAAAATTAAATTAGCTTATATAAAGATTGGCTATGGATTGATAAGACATGAAGATATTTCTAGACCGTTATGCTTTTACTGTTGGTTGATACACAGATGAGGTTGAGATCATATTGTGTGTTGTTGTTGTTCAAAGATGGTGTGGAATTTGAAACCATATTTTTCTTTTACAATCTAAACCTCTTATTGGTTTTAAGACAGATTTACCCTGTTGGCAATTTTCAATACTGAAGATGTTCTTTATTATATGTATAATAAGGACCTTTTATTGGCTTTAAGACATATTTACCCTTGTTATTAACAAATTTGATCCATGTATCTCTTTGACCTTTTATGATATATTTTCTTTTAATTTACAAGGACCATATATGTAAGTTTGTGTATTAATTTTTTTTAAATGCATTACTTAAAACAACTATTAAAATGAAAGTTTGTTGTTATGAGACACAAACTTTAAACTAAATCGCTATTTTTCAATTTAGCCCAATAAAGGAGAAAACACAAAATATAGCAATGTCTTTTTGTTTGTTTCTCAAATTAGCGTCTTACTTTACCTATATCTTTTAATAACATTTTTCGTATTTAAAATGGGTTATTTTTATAGCAATGTACTTTCAACAGTGTTTTTATTTTTCAACCGTTGTTTCCAAAAGGGCCCATTTTTTTTGTTTTGCCCCGGGCCTCAAATTGTCTAGGACCGGCCCTGCATGGAACCAACCCCGAAAATGTTTTTTTTTTTTTTTTTTTTTTTTTTTTTGTAAATTAACTTTCTATACGGAAGCCAAGTAGACAAGCTCGATATCCGAGTAATGGTCATAACAAATGAAAGTAGGTTTCACCATTCTTTGAAGTCTCCTCCCACTTTAACTCCATCAAATACTAATCCTCGTCTATAGCTTCTAAAAGAATCACATTTACATCATTCATATCAATAATAAATATAGAAAAGGAGATAAATGTCTATAGAAAAATGAGATAAACGTTTATTTGAAGGCAAACCTTTTGAGATCATAAACGTTAACCAAAAGGGATGAAAAACAAGAGTGCAAAGCACATTTAATCCAACTTTTCCAATTTTTTTTTTTTTTTTTGAAAACCAATCAAGATACCTTCAATTTAAATAATTATGTCTTTTCAAAATCAACTCCCAAAAACATAAATTGTTTCTTTGTAATTTTAGACTAACAATCATCTCATTCACTATTCACTATCCAAGACACATCTAGGATTTGCTTCCTTGAATGTAAACACGTTGAGAGTTGGACTACCAACGAACTAAATGATGTGCTTCAATGGGTTGGCTAAAAATTTTGCACGCACTTTTTATGTGCATTAGAATTCTAAGACTACTAGGTGTGGGCAGTATGTTATTACATGTTATCACATCCAAATTGTCTACTTCATCATCTTAGTCACAATTTGGTGTTATAACACCAAAGGTGGAAATGGACAACACCAAATAACATGGGATAACACATACTATTTTCTATTTTTTTTTTTTTATGTTTTTAATTTCTATTATTCTAATTTGTTTTATTTTTTTTATTTACTTCATATATTTCTAATTTGTTTTATTTTTTTTTATTTATGTCATATATCTATAAAAAAACATATAAATTAATAAAACATAATTTCATTAACTAGTAAATTATAAATACCATACAAACTTTAAAAAAAAAACATTACACAGCAAAAAACATTGAACAAAAAACACATGATAGTCCTAATAATTTTAAAAAAAAACACGGACAAACTATTCTTCGTCAAAGTATTTGCTCTCGATCTTTGTCTTCATCCCCCGTATCACTTCAGCTCGTCTCGATGACAAATTTTCTTCGTTTGTCGTAAGAATTGTCAAATCCTTCGATATGCAATCTTCTTCGGCTTCTTGACGAAGGAAATCCAAATGCTCCCGTTGCAATTCATATCTTTTATTTGCGATTTCCGTGTGCGCGTCGATTTTTTTTCATTTCTTCGTGCTCTCGAAGCCGACTTTCATTCTCCTGTGCATGTCGTTGCGCGCGCTTCGCTTTGTCGCGCCCCATCGGTCGTCGTGGTAGAGAGATTTCCTCGATGTCATCAAACTCGTTCGGGATCTCATCGGTGTCCGCGTTGAGGTCGATGTTCGTGTGTCCGTCGGAAACGTCAACCGAACCCGAACCACGAGACCTCTTTGATTGTTGTTCCGATGATGTTGGCGTTTTTATCCATTTTGGATATTTCCTCACTATCTCCCATACTTTTTCGTACTCAAATACGTGACCCATTTGCACGTGATATTCCTCACTCGCGGCTCTAAACACATCAAAATCATTGGCACCACTTTGACGTTGTGAAGAAAGTTTGTTGTATATGGAACTGAATTTGGTGCACTTCCGGCTAATTTGAGTCTATTTGCCACTAAGCATATCATTATTGCCATATGTGTCACCCTTGTTCAAAATTGTGCGGAATTTGACAATTACGGCATCCCAAAAAGCAACTCTCTTCTTCCCCAAAGTTGGTTGTTTTGAAGTACCGCACCAAAGCCACCGCCAACGCATGCTCTTCCTCCGGTGTCCACCATGTTGGAGGTGCTTCCGTTTCTTCCGCCCCGACCACGACCTCTTTCCCTTTCTTTTTTGATCTCCATTTTTTTCCCGATGCTTTCCGACTACCCCCGGCTTGCATCTCAATAACCGTTTCTTGCTTGGGTGGGGGTTGTGTGGTTGTTTGTCATATAAAAGGCGAGGTAGAGAATTGTAGTGGGGGTGAGGCGGGATTGAAAAAATTGGCGGTATATGGAAATTGTGGTAAGTTTTGCAAGTTGAGGAGGTTTATGTAGCCTTCGTATGCCGCAAAACCTATTAGAGTGGATGTGTTTGTGTTTGGAGGAGGAGTATTCGGGTTTTGATCCATAGTTGGTTGATTTTTGTGTTTGTGTTTTGAGTGATTTAGTAAATAGATATAGAGAAATATGTGTAGTAAAAAGAATGAGGTATATATATATATATATATATATATATATATATATATATATATATATATATATATATATATTTATAATGAAAATGTAATTAGTAAAAAAAATTATTTATTAAAGTTACCGTTTTTAAACGGATGAATTTTGAAATTGTACCGTTTTTAAATGGTTTAATTTTGCAACGCTCGAATTAATCCGCGTTACGATACGTTACCACAATAGTGAGGGATAACATAATGATAGAGATCTATTCGAGATGGTCAATCTCCAAGATAGGGCCGATTCGATATGGCTAATCTCCTAAAGAAACAAGACTTGAAAGAGATACTAGTTTCATCAAATTCTTTTCTATTCAAAACAAAGCAATTACATCTATATAAATAACAATGCAAATGGCTAAAAACTAGGAAATGAGAAACATGGGTGTAACCGCTAGTCTACTTTTGCTAGAAAATAAATAATTACAATAAGTAAATAAAATGCAAGAAATACTAATAATAAGGGACATGGAATTCGTAGGCAACATGGCAGCAACGTGGGTGTTTCCATGCAAGGGTATTAGTAGCAGATAGTAACTGTCGCCAAAGAGTGTCACAAAGGCTTGTTCTAGTCTCTAAAGGATCTGGCCATGGGGCCGGCCTTAGGTATGACACCAGAACCGTATCAATTCCTACGCCCTTAAAATTGACCTCGTCCTCGAGGTCCAACAAGTACATGTTGAGAGTAAAGAGGGTGGAGAATCATTGGTCGAACAGTTGGAAAAGGTGCTTGAGATGTAGGATATGTCCAGAGGTAGTTGTCAATGGCGGTTGTGGGAGCGGTTCATTTGGTGATGGGGGCAACGACGGTCGTCTCTTCAATTGGATTGGTGACGGCGGGGGTGCCGGTGGCGGCGGCCTTTGTTGTTGATCCGATGGTGGAAGCGGAGGTGGAGGCGGGATAAGTTTGGACATGGTTCCGGTTTGAATGCCGATGAGGGTGTTGACGGCGGTCATTTGTGTGAGAATTGCATCAAGACGGTGGAGATTAGCAGTGGAAATAGCAATGAGTGTGGAGAGTTGCTCGTGGATAGTTGGTAGTGTGTCGTCGGTAGACGGATCTTCGCGGGGAGGCATGATGAACGAGAATGAAAGCATCATTGATAGAGACCTATTCGAGATGGTCAATCTCCAAGATAGGGCCGATTCATGGCTAATCTCCTAAAGAAACAAGACTTGAAAGAGATACTAGTTTCATCAAATTCTTTTCTATTCAAAACAAAACAATTACATCTATATAAATAACAATGCAAATGGCTAAAAACTAGGAAATGAGAAACATGGGTGTAACCGCTAGTTTACTTTTGCTAGAAAATAAATAATTACAATAAGTAAATAAAATGCAAGGAATACTAATAATAAGGGACATGGAATTCGTAGGCAACGTGGCAACAACGTGGGTGTTTCCATGCAAGGGTATTGGTAGCAGATAGTAACTGTCGCCAAAGAGTGTCACAAAGGCTTGTTCTAGTCTCTAAAGGATCTGGCCATGGGGCCGGCCTTAGGACACCAGAACCGTATCACATAACATGTAATGGGTGGGCGGTGTTCACCCGTTATGGCGCTGTCACATCTGATAACGTCATACGCGCGTTGCCCACACCCGTCCCTCTAAGGGGATCGGATACCTCCGGGATAATAAATGCAATGAAAAATGAATTACACGTCATGATTTCCAAAATGTCTCACATCCATAGTTTTGATCCCACATTGGCATAAACGAATAGAATTTTCAAAACACAATTGTGTAACAAATGAATAAATAAAATTATATTGTTACTTCTAACATTTATGATTTGATAATTTTACACATTCTTTAAAATTACATAAGTATTGTGTCATTCCTAGTTATTGAACTTCTTGATTTCTAAATCAGAGATCAAAATTAACACCGAACATCTTCAATACATCAAGGATTTGATCGTTTTTATCATCATATCATATAACATCACATCAATAATCAACAAAAACAACTCTATAGACTTCTTTCATATCATCAAAGGACAATCCCAACAAACAAAACTCAAAACCCACATTGATCTTTACAGATCAAGATTATTTTTTTTACTTTTATGAACCAAAAGCAAACCATTTCAACGCCATAACTATTTTCCTTAGCACGTTAATACATAATCAAGATTCAAGATTAATGAAATTAACCTCAAAATTTGGATCTAATCAGTTGGTTCTAGAAACATACGCCACAGAAACAGCAGCAGCTGCTACAAGTGTACTTGCAGATGACACCATTGCCCAGAAGCTCTTCTCCTTACGAACTTCAGCAGCAGAATTTTCAACCATTTCAAGTTTCCTCTTCATTTCTTCAACTCTGCTCTCTTTCTCCTTGAAAACCCTCTTGATTTCTTCAAGCTCTGTAGCAGGATCTTTTATCTCTTCTTCATACCCATTTCCATTTCCTAGGTCAAAATCACGAGTGGTTTCATTACTACCCGATAATGTTTTCTTCAAGATATTCAAGACCCGATTCGAATTAGCTTCTGCTAATCCAATTTTAGTCTTTGTTTCATTAAATTCAACACGGGCTTCTTCAAGTTTTGCTTCTAAAACAGCCATGTCTTTCGTCAACTCAGCACAACGATGTTCCAACTCGTTCTTTTCTGCAAGATTTTTCGAATATTCTTCTGTCGCTCTTGATAAATCTTCATGTAAATCTTTGATTTTCTTTTCCAGTTTTGAAATCGTGCGTTGAAAATCGGTTTTAGTGGCTTCTTGTTCATGAAGAGTCTTGAGGGCATTGTCTCTTTCGATTGTGGATTGATCGAATGAAGCTTTGTAGCGGCTAACTTCTTCCTCTAACTGCTTAAGTTTCTTGTTTTGATTGAATGTGGAGCTTTCGAGTGATGAAATTGTCTCTTGAAATGCGATCAATTGTTCTTTCATGTCGACGATTTCATTTTCCGCTTGAAACTTGGCATCTTGTAATTCAGATTTCTCTTGAACTATCTGCTCGATTGTAAGCTTCTGGAGCTCTACTTCTTTCATGGCATCCTGCAAATCCTTTAGAACTGAACTTTTATCGTTATCCAAACTTTTGATAACTTCCTCTCTTTCGATTGTGGCTTGATCCAATGAAGCTTTGTAGTGGCTAACTTCTTCCTCTAATTGTTGAAGTTTCTGGTTTTGATTGATTGTAGAGCTCTCGAGTGATGAAATTGTGTCTTGAAATGTGATCAATTGTTCTTTCATCTTAGCAATTTCACACTCCCCTTGAATCTTGGCATCTTCTAATTCACTTTTTTCTTTAACTATTTGCTCGATTGTTTGCTTCTGCTGCTCTACTTCCTTCATGGCATCCTGTAAATCTTTTAGAACTGAACTTTTATCGTTATCCAAACTTTTGATAACTTCCTCTCTTTCGATTGTGGCTTGATCCAATGAGGCTTTGTAGTGGCTAACTTGTTCCTCTAATTGTTCAAGTTTCTGTTTTTGATTGATTGTAGAGCTTTCGAGTGATGAAATTGTGTCTTGAAATGCGATCAATTGTTCTTTCATTTTAGCGATTTCACTCTCCCCTTGAATCTTGGCATCTTCTAATTCTGTTTTCTCTTGAACTGTCTTCTCAATTGTATGCTTCTGCTGCTCTATTTCCTTCATGGCATCCTGTAAATCCTTCAGAACCAAACTTTTCTCGTTCTCCAAACTTTTGATAAGTTCATCTTTTTCGATTATAGCTTGATCCAATGAAGCTTTGTAGTGGGTAATTTCCTCCTCTAATTGTTGAAGTTTCTGGTTTTGATTGATTTTGGAGGTTTCATGTGATGAAATCGTGTCTTGAAATGCGCTCAATAGTTCTTTCATCTTGACAATTTCAGTTTCTCCTTGAATTTTGGCATCTTCTAATTCGGTTTTTTCTTGAACTATCAGCTCGATTGCATGCTTCTGGTGCTCTATCTCTTTCATGGCATCCTGCAACTCTTTCTGAACTGAACTCTTCTCATTTTCCAAACTTTCAATACGTTCATATATTTCTTTCTTCTCTTCAATCAACCCATCAATCTGCTTTTGCATTATTACCTCATTTCCTGAACTTGTGGCGTATTTGCTCTCCACATCATGTAAATCTTCGATTTCTTTTTCCATTTCTGTGATCTTGTATTGCAAATCGGTTTTCATGGCTTCTTGTTCTTCAAGAGTCTTGAGGGCTTCATCTCTTTCAATTGTGGCTTGATCCAATGAAGCTTTGAAGTGGCTAACTTCTTCCTCTAACTGCTTAAGTTTCTCAGTTTGATTGATTGTAGAACTTTCAAGTGTTGAAATTGTGTCTTGAAGTACAATCAATTGTTCTTTCATCTTGACAATTTCATTTTCCCCTTGAATCTTGGCATCTTCTAATTCTGCTTTTTCTTGAACTATCTGCTCGATTGTATGCTTCTTGTGCTCCAACTCTTTCATGGCATCCTGCAACTCTTTCAGAACCGAACTTTTCTCGTTCTCCAAACTTTTGATTTGTTCATCTTTTTCTTTCTTTTCTTCATCCAAATCATTGATTTGCTTTTGCAATATCACCTCGTTTCCTGAACTTGTGGCATATTTGTTCTCCAGTTCATGTAAATCTTCGATTTCTTTTTCCATTTCTGTAATCTTGTGTTGGAAATCGGTTTTAATGGCTTCTTGTTCTTGAAGGGTCTTGAGGGCTTCATCTCTTTCAATTGTGGCTTGATCCAAAGATACTTTGTAGTGGCCAACTTCTTCCTCTAATTGCTTGAGTTTCTCATTTTGATTGATTGCAGAGCTTTCAAGTGATGAAATCGTGTCTTGAAATGTTGTCAATTGTTCTTTCATCTTGACGATTTCACTCTCTCCTTGAATCTTGGCATCTTCTAATTCAGTTTTTTCTTGAAGTATCTGATCAATTTTGAGTTTCTGGAGCTCTAATTCTTTCAAGGCATCCTGCAAATCTTTCAGAACCGAACTTTTCTCAATCTCCAAACTTTTGATTTTTTCATCTGTTTGTTTCTTTTCTTCAACAAACCCATCGATTTCGTTTTTCAGTGCTACCTCGTTTTCTGAACTTACAGCATACTTGTTCTCCAGATCGGTGATTTTCTCTTGCAATTCTTGCTCGTCAATTTTCATGTCCTCTATGTAATCCTTGAGTTCACCCAATAAATTTTGCAGCTCTTCATTCTTTCTCTCCTGGGTGTTCTTATCATCTTCAATCGCCTTTATCTGTTGCAGTAGGGTATCAACAGTTTTCTTCAAAACATCAATCTGTTCATTCGCTTCAACAAAACTCTCCTGAATCAAGTTCTTTTCACTCGTTATTGAATCAACCCGTTGATTATTGACTTTATTTTCGCGGACTAATCTGTCAAAATTAGCCTGTAATTCCAAAATTTCTTCCGAATTATGGGCTTCTGTTTTTTCTGCTTCCCTTACCTTCATCTGCAACTCATCCACCTCCTGAATTTTAGCACCTAACATGGCCCTAACTTCATCCCTCTCATCACAAGCACGAGATGAAACACGTCTCTCTTCATCAACCTTAGCCATAAGTTCATCGACTCTTCTGTTCAAATCCATAATCTCGGATTCTTTCTCACTCTTCGATTTCTCCATTTCACTCTTTTCCTCCGAAGCTCTTTTCATCTCACCCTCCAAGCTCCCGACTTTCTCCATCAAACTCTCGATTTTTTCCTCCGCCAGTTGATTCACCTGCTGAGTCACAAAAACGGAAACTAATCCCTTCTCAATCTCCAACATCACCGCTTGTTCAGTCACCCCATTAATCTCCGACTGCAACAGGCTTTTATCCATTTCAGACCGACTCAACTCGGATTTCAGATGAGCGTTCGACTTGGTTAATGAATCGACCTGTTGACGCCGCTCAACGGTCTCTTTAAGCAACAATGCATTGAGAGATTTAAGTTTCTTAATCTTCACTGGTGCAGGTTCATCCATTTCGTTATCATGGGCCGTGTCTTGGGATTTGCTGGAGTTGCTTTCAGCTTGGGGGTCTGTTTTCTTTTTAGCCATGGATTAGGGTTTAGTGCTTTGTGTGGTATTGAGATTAGGATTTGAGATTGAAGATGAAGGGTTTAGAATTTATTGAAGGTTTAGAATTTTTGTGGTGGAGGAGGATAAGAAAGTATATGAGAGGATTGTGTTTTTAGGGTTTATGTTCGACTTCGGGTTTGAATTCAAAATTTATTGGCCCGGGAATCGAGAGAAATACATGCGCCGGGCAAGTTGAGGGGTAGGGTTAAGTTACATATTTAGTCCTTTAACTATTTATGAACTTCAGTTTTTGAACAATTAATAATCACTTTTACGTTGGTGGTCTATAGTAGTCCTAATCAGTTGGCGAACATTTTTAAACATGTTTTTGTGACATTTTTGGTGATCTACTTTAATTAATTAGTGTACGTGTCCACACGAGCTTTATAATTGCACTTATTCATTAAAATAATAATATAAAATACAAGTGCGTCTAAATTTATTATTTTTGGACTTAAAAAAAACAACGATCACAAATAACGAACATGAGATTGTGAAAAAGTTTTTTCTTTGTTTTAAACAAAGCACCACCAATAAATTCTCATGGATACAATCTTACTATTTACGAATAATATTTTTAATATAAACGTTTCCAGCAAATAATTATTGAGAACCCTTTTTCATACGAGTATCAATCCATACCACTATTATGTTATGTTTTATTCTCGATGTTTTAATAAAATTGTAAGATGTGAACATGGTACCCTAGTACCTCATTTGCAATATCTGTAACCGAACCAAATTGTCCAAGTACCTGAATGAAGCGTGAGGAGGCGTTTAACCATGGTTCGATTTTACAGGTACCCGCTAAATATTAAAAAAAAAATCAAAATCATTCAAAAATACAAAAATAAAATAAAAACATCCAATATATATAAAAACTAGTTGTGAAACCCGTATGTTATACGGGTTGATAAAACAAAAAATTAAATATAAAGATTTTTTTTTTTAAGAAGTTGATGGTTTCCATAAAATTTTAATTGTCATTGTACAATGAGTGAGATGACAAACGGGCAACAAGTTGTGTCGTTAAGCCTTTTTGAATGGTAAAGCTAATTCTTTTAAAGACTACATCCGAAGATCTAGGGGATATAACATTACTATGCATGATTCGTTGTACTCTTTTAAGAAGCTCTACCGCATCCGGTGCGAGGAAACCAAACGTATCAAATGCAAATGGTATGAACACGTGTTGATTTTCCATGCACGATTTCTCATGTTTGGTGACTTTGTCTGTAGCTGCTTTTAAAGCAGCATGTCCCGCCGTGAAACCCCCAGCCCTCAGGCCCACGAGAGGGGATACTCATGTAAGATCCACACATGCGTGTTTCCCTTCGACCCATCCAAAAATCAAAATGTCAGCCGGTCTGAGGGTTGACCTTCCTTCTGTCGGGTCAGTCAAGAAATTAACAGGTGCCTCTTTCTTAGCGGAAACCCCGGCACGCTTAAATATGTCAAACAAAACATCCCTAACTATATCGTGTCTGTATTTGAACCTCAGGAGTTCTTTACAGTGAACTGCATGCTCTCCAAAAGAGTCCAAACATGCATTGCGACACACATAACATATCTCGTCAGCTGGGAATATGGGAATCATGAGTCGATATTTGAGAATTTTAAATTTGAAATTTTAGATTTGGAATTTAAATTTTAAAATTTGAATTTAAAATGAAACATATTAAATACTATATGCGTAATATTGTAATTTATTGGTTATTTTCAATTAAGGCAATTATTAATTGAGGTGTAAATATGATGTGTTAATTAAGAAAATATAAAAAATGACAAAATGACAAATGGAAAAAATATTTATTCAAAAATACCAAAAATTGACATGTGTCCAAGTTAATGAGAGAGAGTGACATGTGGCAAAATTATTTTCATTTATTAGGGAAGATAAGTTCTGGTTAGATCTTGAAAATTGAATAAGAATTCAAAATATACTATAACAATATTAGATTATAATCAAAAACTTACTTGAAATTACCAATTATGACAAGGTGGCTAAAAACTCTAAACTTCTTTAGTGTCGTTAATCATCACCTACTAACAAAGACACACATTAAAGTAATAAATTATAGGGATAATGACTTGAAAGGGTAACGGACTTTCGATTTTGTTCATATTTAGTCATTAAACTCTTTTTCATTCTTTATTTGTCACTGTACTATTGAAACTGTTCACATTTTACCTTAACCGGTAAAATGTGAACAGTTTTCAATAGTTCAGTGGTAAAATGTGAACAGTTTCAATAGTTCAGTTGCAAATAAAGAATGAAAAAAATAGTTCAGTGGTCATAAGGGTAAAATGTGAACAGTTTCAATAGTTCAGTGGCAAATAAAGAATGAAAAAAAGTTTAGTGACTAAATGTGAACAAAAGTGAAAGTTCGTTTCCCTCTAAAAAAAAGTTTAATGCTTAAATGTGAAAAACTTCCTTTTGTATTATGTTTTAGCAAATTATTTATTTTTGTTAAATTCTAGCAACATTTGTTGATGAAGAAATCTATGAAAAAAAAAACAAAATCCCAAAAAATATATTAAAAAAACGAAAAACCAAAACCGAAATAAAAAACCAGTAGGTTGGTATTTTCCAAAATAAAAAATCAAAATTTTCAATCTGGTTTTGGTTTAACAAAAAATGAATCATTCTCACCCATAGTGTCGTTTTAATTGTTAAATGTATAGCTATTTTTTTTTTCTAAAATAAATATTTTTGTAAAGGTAATATGGATGGGGATGTTTGGGCGCAACACTTCATAAAAGATGTTAACGATATTACTTAACTATATATGTCTAGTTAAATAATCATAAAATTCAATAATTATTCAAACTTTTTAAGAAAATACAATCTTAAATATAAATAATTTGTCCGAGTAAATTAAAAATGTCTAAATTCTAAACAACGTATATGGTTTAATGTATGTCAACTTATGTGTTGCATAATTTTATAACACAAAATTCATACATATAATATTAGGATAACTTTTATACATATAATATTGCATAGTTTCATAACATAAAACTTATACATATAATATTGGTTTCGTTTTTCGTTTTTTATACCTTTTTCGGGGTTTTGTTTTGTTTTTTTTTTTTTTTTTTTTGTATTTCATAGATTTCTTCATCAACAAATGTTGTACAAATTTAACAAAAATACATAATTTGCTAAACCATAATACAAGAGGAAAGTGTGTTCATATTTAGTCATTAAACTTTTTTGACAAGGAAACGAACTTTCAACTTTGTTCACATTTAGTCACTAAACTTTTTTTCATTATCTATTTGCCACTGAACTATTGAAACTGTTCATATTTTACCCTTATAACCAGTTGTTACCTTATACTATTGAAACTGTTCACATTTTACCCTTATGACCGGTTGTTACCGGTCATAAGGGTAAAATGTGAACAGTTTCAATAGTTCAGCGGCAAATAGTTAATGAAATAAAGTTTAGTGACTAAATGTGAACAAATTCAAAAGTTCGTTACCCTTTCAAGTCATTATCCCTAAATTATACTAGAGAGACTGATAAGACACATAGCGTTAGGGCTCATACATGTATATACAACACAAAGCATGATAAAAATATATGTAATTAATTAAACTCCTTTGTGAACACATTTACGTTTTATTAACATCATTCGTGGTTTGTGCTTGTCCTTAACAAAAACTTAACACCTTATGTCGAACAGTTCTCTCATTTATCCCAAAACACCATCATGTTCACAAAACACTACAGTTATTCAGAACGCACACCCCTTTCACAAATTAAAAACTTGTTTGGGTAAATGATATAGGGTATAGGGTATAAACCCTTTCACATAGCACACACTCGTTTGGGTTAACGGTATAGTGTATAAGGTATAGGATATAAAGTGTAATGCGTGATTTTTACCCCAAATTTTTTATTTAATTTTGTAACATCCCGACGATGAGGTATTTCCAAATTTAACCCATAAGTATGAAGATTTATTGTATTTAGCCCTTGTATGAGAAAAATGTTGCAAGATGACCCATAGTGGCATTTTTGTAGATCTTTGGATAAGGCCACGTACATTGGGCGTACGTGCATGATTCTCAAACCCTAATTTTTAGGGTTTGGACCCTATATAAACATCTTTAACTCTTCATTTCTGATTCTCTCACCAGCCTCCAACCCTCATTTCGTCCATTGTAACCCTAATCTCTTATGTGTGCTTCTTTTAGCTCAAAAGTGTGTGTTTGTGGTGCCTTTGAAGCAAGGTGAAGAAAGAAGCATCAACTTGGAAGATCGAGACCTTATAGATCCAGGAACACCTCGCCTCGAAGCTGCCTTTTGAGGTATAAAGTTATGAACTTGATGATTCAATGCATAATTCTAAGTTAGCCATCAAGTTTGTGTCCTTTTGGTCCCATTAGTTGGGTTTTTTGAGTATAAGCTGCACCAATCCATTTAAGTTGTCCTTTTAGACATTTTGAGGTGTTTAGAAACATAAAAATGTAGTCTTGATCACTTCTTCCCTTCCATGCATGAGTTACAAGGTCTTAATGGGTTAAGTGGTTAACGCTTATTGGCCATGCAAGACCATAAAGTTGGAAACTTTATGGTCAAAGACGTCATTTGGGGCTTGGATCTAACTTTGGACATAACGAATTGATATATTAAGCTCTTAATGAGAAAAGGGGTTGACCATGTGCGTACGTTGGGCATACCAAATGGTACGTTGCGCGTACGCGGTCAAAGTCCTGATTTCTGGGTCAAACGGAGTACGCCCCGGGTACGAATGAGTATGCCCCGCGTACAAATGAGTACGCCCCACGTACAGATGAGTACGCCCATCGTACTCAGCTAGGTTGAATCGGTTGGTTTGTTGAGCTTGACCTTTGACCTTGACTAAGTTTTACCTAAGGTTATTTTAGGTAATTTAGAGTGGTACTTGAGATCGGTCATTATTTGGTGTTTAGGTGACCAGTTGAGTTGTCATTCGGAGCTGTGTTAT